GTGATGCCTTTAAACATAATGTTGTTTCTGATTCATTGTCTGCACTTCACATGGATGAGCTTATGCATTTATTGTCTTTGAATGTTGATGTAGCTGTTGAAGCTTTGAGCAATGCTGTACATAATGGTCCTATTTCATGCGAATTACTTTCTTGAGCTAGAAAATCAAAACGTAGATCTTGAGAAAATGGTACGCCAAAGACTGTGAGGATATGATGACTAAAAGGTTTAATGTATTAGATACGGGCTGCGTGTAGAGGGGGCAAGGGCCCTGGGCTGATAATGAGCCAAACCACCCTGACTGTGCCAGGATCACCCAAACCCTCTTTGCTGCATTTTTACGAGTTACTTGTGATAAGGAGATTATTTCTAAATATTCTACAGAAAGGAATAGTTACAGGTAGTTACAGTTACAGGAAGAAGACATTAGAATACGAAGAGACTTGTGTTCGTGAACTTGTAGCCAGTAGTGGATATAGCAAAACATTCTGGTAAAAGATAAGTGCATTTACAAAGAAGAACAGTTGTAGTCCTGTTTCCAACAAGATTTGCCAAGAAGATTGGTTTGATTATTTAAGAATATTTTAAACCATACTGATATACTGTTGGACTCGGCTATTTTTGAGCAGGTAAATTATGTTATAAGGAACCATAATGAACATTATGTTATAAATAACCATACTGACAAATTGTGTCATTTCTGTACTGATGATGATGTAAATAATATTCTTAATGGTGATATTACACAGGAAGAGATCGAATCATCCATAAAAGATCTAAAGCGGGGTAAAGCTGCACGACCAGATGGTATTAAGGCTGAGATGATCCAATGTTGCAGTACTGTTTTAATTCCATATTTGTTAGTTATGTTTAATAATATTTTGTCAACGGCTAATTTTCCATCTGAATGGGCTAAGAGAGTTATTGTACCACTCAATAATAAAGGAAGCTTTGACCATGTTAACAAACAAGGAGGCATATCTTCAATGGATATTTTTCGGAAGTTATTCTTCTCTATTCTAAATGCGTGTATTATACGGGTTTTTTAACCGTGTACCTGAGGCACAGGGCAGGATTAAGGAAAGGCTATTGCTCAACGGATAATATTTTCACTTTGCAATGTCTTGTATAAAAGTATTTATCTGAAAGTAGCGGACGTTTTTACTGTATTTATGTAGACTTCAAGAAAGCATTTGATTCTGTTCATAGGAAATTACTGTGGTATTCAATAATGGATAAAGGTGTTCATGGTAAATTATTCTCTGTACTGAGAAATATGTACTCAAATACAAAAGCAGCTGTAAGAGTATCAAACACTAATATCAGCCCGTTTTTATTTGTAATGTTTATTTCAGAATTTCAAGCCATGATGGAAGATGCAGATGTAAGAGGTATATTCATCGGGGTGTAATATTTGGAACTAAGTTATTATTGTATGCTGATGATTTATGTATTTTAGATGACAGTGTTATTGGTTTGCAAAGAAAGATATCTAATGACATCTTATGTAAATATTGTAAAGCATGGGTCTACAGATAAATATGGATAAAACTGAAATATTAGTTTTCCGTAATGGTGGTTATTTACGACATTATGAGAAGTGGTATTTTGATTGAGAGCTCCTAAAGACATCAACTTATAATTATCTAGGGATTATGTTTTCTACTAGGTTGGCATGGACAGTGTGTACAAATGTTCTTGTTTCAAAACCCAGTAAAGTCCTGTTTGTCATTAAGCAATTACAGCATAAACACCCAAATATTCCTTTAAATATGTTGTTTAAGTTGTTTGATTGTAAAATAAAACCTATTTTGTTATATGGGGCGGAGGTGTGGGGCTTCCAAGAAAGAGCTGTTATTGAAAGATTTCATAATTTTGTTTTGTAAATATGTATTGGGTGTTGATAAACATGTACCAAGTAGTGCAGCTGTAGCCAACTGCGATGGACATGGAGTTTATATAGATTACTACCAAAAATGTGTAAAGTACTTGTGTAAATTGTTAAGAATGTCAGATGATCGTTATCCAAGCAGTGTTACCTACTTATGAAGAATTTAGAAGTTAGGGAATTAAGAAGATATATATGGTTGTTGAGATTGCATGAACTGCCGTTGCGTTGTAATATCAGATGTAAAGAAGCTATAACTGTTAACCGAATTTGTAGGATATGTAATACTAATAGCATTGAAGATGAACTCCATTTCATATTTGATTGCGAGGCACATATCTTTTTGAGAAATAAGTACATACCGAAGTGGCATATATTCATCAAATATTCATAAATTTCTGACATGTAATGATATGTCAATCCTCAACAAAAGTGCTGTGTTAAGGAAGCTCTGAAATGTAAATATGCACTCGATAGTAAGTATATTATGTCATCTACTGCCCTATTGCATCAACTGTGTACATGGGCCGATGGCGTACAAAACAGAAATAAACTTACTGACCATCAGACAAATAGAAGTGTGAATAGACACAATTATATCATGAAGAGACCCAACGTTAATACACCAAGTCCACCCATAATGATTGGTAAATAAAAGCGATTGAGGGAAGAGCGAGGGTGGTGGGATCTATGGTCTGACATGATTCTTCGTGTGAGGGTGTCAATACCCGGAATTTCTTGTTTCGTCCATTCGAACATTAAAAGAATATGAAAGGACGGGTACAGTGTAAGTACTTGTGACTTTAACTTTATTGTGAGGGTTCAGCTCTGAACTCAAGATTTTCTTAAAATCTACAGTTGTACTCTGCCCGAAGTTTTTCCTTGATATTAGCATTCTTGAGTTTGTCCCTAATTATTATTAGTATTATTGTTATTATTATTATTATTATTGGGAGTATCAGTACAGTGGTTCTTGCCCCAACACTGTTTTTGAGAGGGATTTGTGCTTATTGCTATCATCGTGTGATCCTTGTTTCTAAATATCAACATATGATGGTCCTCATCAAAATTATGCAATATTAAGTTGTAACCTAAAACTCATAGAGCCCAGATCGCCTTGTATCTATGATCCTGGACCACGGCGCCTCACTTAAGCAGACCAAGTTATTCGACAGGGGTGCTAACAAAATGTGACATCCATTTAAATCTACTGACAATTAATACTTAAAACACAACATACCACGTAGTAAGGACAGATAACATTTAAAACCTAAAGAGGAAGTAGTATAAGTGTGATACAGAAGAGATTAATATAAAACATAGGTTTAATAGCTAGGCCTACCAATGAAAACCAGCAGAGAGCAACCAAACTATGGAATACGTCCACACGTTAAATGGAAACAGCCACACAAATTACAAACATGACACAATCCCCATAAAGTGTGAATGAAAATAATTAAAACTCGTCATGTTTTCAATAGAAAACGACACAGTTAATTGCACATATCGCAACAAACCGAGAGTGCATGCATTCGGTTTGTTGTGGTCTCCATTGAAAATGTGGCAGGTATTAATCATTGTAATTCGTGTGGCTATTTCTAATTAAAATGTGTATATATTCCATAATGTGTTTACTTAAGCAAAGATGTGAGAGATATACTTTACATCTGAGCAGGAAACAGAAATATATAAAATAATAATATTTGTGGGAATATGGTTAACTTATGAATTTTTGGCCCCGTACTGGGATAGACTTTACGGGTGATGTTGTAGCTTTAGTCTTTTTGCCTATTTCCATTTGTTGGCCCAGTTTGAATTTTTAACCAAATCGTTATTATAACATTTGACTACCGTGAATGAATCATCTGTAATAACATATATTGATGAATCATCAGTAAAAAGGTGTATGTTGCTATATATTCCTTCAACAATATCATTGATATAAACGATAAGCAGCAGTGGTCCTAGAGCAGATCCCTGAGGTACAGCAGCTTGTACAGACGTTAATTCTGAGGTATAACACTAAACCAACACTCTGAGCTTTAGTGTTTACGTATCTTTCAAATTAATTTGAAAAAGCACCCTGTATGTTGTGGGCATTGTTAATGGATAATACCATTATGGCATACCCTATCAAAGTCTTTTTCTTATGTCACACAACATGACTCATTTATTTTCCCTCATCTGAAGCCCCAGTGATGAAGTTATGTCTGTGAGCTGATTTCCCATTGAATCGCCGGGCATAAATCCTGATTTTAAGTTTATCAAAATATTGTTATCTCTGATTATGATTATAAATATATATTTCTCCAAACATTTTTAGAAAGCAGCTTGTAAGGACTACAGATCTATAATTTGAATAATCATCTAAATCATTTCGTATAGAGTGGAGTATTTAACGCTCCTTTCCATGATAGCGTAATTGTTTTGTCTTGGGAGTGACTTGTTAAATGCTTTTGCTAGTTTCTGAGCCATACAGTTTGCTGACAATTCCATTAATCTGTCCCCAGTACCATCAGGACCGGTTGCTTTAGATGTGTCTACAGAAACAAGAATACAACGAGCTTTATTATTGCTGATTGACTTCGGTGGGTTATCAATTTTGCACGATTTGATAATCATAAGATCTGAACATCGATTTCTTACTTTTATCGTTCTGATAAGAATCCGTTCAGGACTTTGACGATATACTGAGTATCATCATAATTTACAGCGAAGCCATAAGTTGAACAAAGTTCTGCTAATTTAACTCCAAAGTTATTACATATTACATTATCAAACACAGTGTTTTGACAAGTAAATAGTTCTGAGAAAGCAGGGTTGTACATTTCTTCACAAAGTGACTAACATCAGTCCTGTCTGAAAAAAGCATGTTCTAAAAAGAGACGTCCATAAAGTGAGCATGCTGACGATCTACTGAAATCTAAGGTGCCGCTTGTCAGCAGGTTTCCTAAGATAGGAAACAAACACAACATACGGCATATCTTCACAGAACATGCATACAGCCACGACCACGACAACAATCATGTTGTCAACTGTAAGGTGATAAAGAAAAGAAATGAATGGAGACAAATTACAAAGTAAACAAAATATCATAGTACACATCCACATACCTGTCCATACAGCCCTAAATCCCTTCCCAACATTCCAGGGATTCGTAGTAAACACAACACGGTAGTAGACGGCTGATTGGACAATGTAGCCCTGTCTGTCTCCACTTAAAGTGGCAAGGAGGCTGTTGGAGGCATCGTAAACCTGCAATTAATATATGGAGGGTTTAGTCCCTTTTGCCTCAATCCCTATGTGCCAACCAATTAACTGCAAGCACATTCGGATTGAAAAAACACACACCCTTACAGAGATAATAAGCAGGACCCTCACATGTGTCATTACTAAAATCATCAGAATTCAAAAAGAATACCTGAACTAAATATTATAAATACCCAATATCAAAACAAAGGTTTTAAAGACAAACATTCTATGAAAGAACATTTATCTTAAATCCTATAGTTTATATATATCATAACTGTTGAAAAAATAATTATTTGGACATGGCAATATATTTTTTTCTATAAGGTAACAACTATTGTTGAACATAACCAAACATTGAACACGTTCAAATGGATTAAACTATAATGACATACTGTACCCATTCTCAAAATACAAAAAAAACACATCTACAATTGCAACATTTGAACAAATATGTTTACACAATCAGTTGGATGATAGAAATTAATGTATAGATGGCTTCTCCCAGTTATGCAAGGTATAATCAGATACAAACAATGTTTCCCAGTCAAACATCAGATAACACGTCTTTATCTCCCTCATCACATCATCTAAAAATACTCATTTACTCAAGTAATTTGACGAGAGAGATAAAAGTATGGTTGACTTCTCACATTTCCATCAGGTATTGTTAACATGTTTTGGAGCTCTGAACATGGATTAAGGAATTAAGCTTTCCATTAAGTTTGACATGTGGTATAGTTGTGAACAAATTTGAAAAATCAAATGTTTTGACAGAATTGACGCTGGTTCTTTTCCGAGATTGAAAGAAAAGTCAAGCAAATCCTTTGAGCTTTTGAGAATCCGCATGGTATCATTTCCACTTGTCTCAAATACTTTCTATGAATATAAAGAAAATCCTTCCTTGATTGTATTAAACATCATGGTTAATCGTTGAGACAGGCATTTGGTGGTGCATTTGCCTGACCCAGCACTATATCATTTTTGGCATGGATTTTTTATTTTTTATTTATTTTCTTTATCATCTGGTGTCTTCAGTGCACCCGGCAACGCAAATGGTGGTCACACCCGATACTGACATTGTTAGTTAAGTTGTTACACCATTCCTCTTTTAGGGCGTAGGGCTCTGCCTCCTGTGACTGTGTAGCACAATGTTTACATACCTTGACAACATCATACCCTTCCTCTGTACTGAAATTTGTAAACACGAGTGTGACCAATGTTTCGCCTGCATCAATGGTGTAGACGCAGTTCAAATAGTTGCCGTAATTGCCAGGGTAGTTTGGTGAGGAGATAGAACCAGATGGGTCTGTGTAGCCTTCACCACATCCTGAAGTAGATACAAGAAGCGTTATCGCTATCGCCAGTAATGAGTAAGTAATTATGTTAGTGCGTAAGTTGTGTTTAACACCGCCTTAAACAATATTCAAGTGATAGTATGGCGTGTCAGCCTAATGTGGAGGAAAGTTTGGATTGGATTTTTAAGGCTCATATATGGTTTTGCAGCTGAAAAAGAAATCTGAGTCTCAATACAAAATCTTGTCTCAATAGAAAATCCCAGTACCCCCTCCGATTAAATGATAAAATGTGAAATTAATAAACACAAAAGGTCCATATCTGGAACAAATAATTCATGGCTACGATTCTCGATATCAATATTGACAAGAATCTCTTAGATAAGCTAATTTCAGTGGTTTTTGAGAAATCTAGTCCCACGTGCAGACACTATGCACTTTGAAAAATAACATGGATCAAGGGCCATAACTGTGTATGCTCAAAATAAAAACAAAACATGCAGCAAGGAAAGTAACTCTGGAACCAAATAATTTATGGGACCAGGAATGGTCCAGAGTTATCCATCAGACATGAACGGAACTACCTTCACTCATGTTAAGACGATATGATAGATAACATGGAGCGCCGTATCTAACAGTGTCTGTACAAACTTTACAATGTAACAAAGTTGTATTACCTGACACGCCCAGATGGAACAAAATATTGTTCTAAACAGTGTAAGTACCAACTCGCATGTTAATATGACTGTGCCATATCCAACCATATCAGCCTTAGATGCTCGTCATTCTTTATTGTTTCACACATACACAAAATAACATCTAGATTTAACCTGATACTTTAATATTAGCAATACAAGTTAGTTCCTTAATAAATACATCCTGAAATAATATGAATCCATATATTGGTCAAAAACGCGGCAACATCACATGCCATAAACAAGCTAGAATAACTTGTGAGGGTGCATCACATGACATTTGTTGTGCTTTTATTTAAAACAAGTTTGGTTCACATCTCCATTCTAGAAACAGTTGCTGTCCTCCTTTCTTTATGAATTAAACAGTCATTCCAATAATCAAACAGGACCTGTCGTTTTTCCCATCTATATTTTATATGAAACATATAAAAGAATCCAAATGCTAACTGAAACCTTGAAAATGAGGCCATTATCACATGGTCTGTAATTTTGCCATTTGTTGTTTTGGCATCCCTGTCAAAAGACTATTACAGGCGGCACAGAATGAGCGATTGAACGAGAGTAGCTGCTGATTCCTCCATAATTAGTGAGCGAATAGTGTCGATATTCCTCAGGTGAAAGAAACACTTCTTACACAAATCATCCACATGATGTTCCATGGAAAGGTCCGAAGCAAGTGGAATTCCTAGATTTGTGACAACTGGTGAGAGGGTAATGACTGCATCTCCAAATGATAGATCAGTAATTGGAAATTTGGGGCATCTAATGGATCTAATTGCTTCAGTCCTGTTGCTGTTAAAATTCAGAATGTCTTGTGTACATAGTTCTAGGCATCTTGGCATCTTGAGCAGTGGACGCGGGAGTAATAGTGTCTGCTTGTTGCGTATCATCAGCATAAAAGAAGTATTCCCCAGCCAAGAGCCTTGTTGGAGACGCAGATCACAGTGGACGCTTGTATAGCTTACCGTGGTAGTCCAACAACCGTCAGTACCTCTAAAGAACACAGCAAAGTCAACACTGAAGAGCCTGATTCACACCCAGCCTGGGCACCGTATGGTGACAGGGGTAGTCGGGTCGGTGACCCTAGTTGCGTATGTGGCACGGTAATCATGACCTTCACTCAGACAGCTGCTCTGGCATTGGTTACGGTACCATTACAGACTGCCCACCAGTTTGCATGTGCCAAATGTGTCAACTTACTGATACTGACACACATATCTTGGTTCAGGGCTGGACACCATCGTTTTCATTACGTGGAGTTTCAATGAGGCTTTAGCTAGCGGCTCAAAGTGGAGACCAACACTGCAAACAGGAAACCGTCCATTTTTTCCCATATATGGGTGGGCGTTGGGCAGTTATTCTAAGCGTCGATTTTCCATTGAAAAGGGTTGAAATTTTACATTGGGATTTACTGCGGGAGAACGGTATTATCAATCACCTCCCTCTCGAACTTTCATTGGTCAGCTCTTGCATGTTAGATTACAGAAGTGAGTGAAATTGCGCTTGTAGGTCCTAGCGGAACTGTGCATGCGGATTGTTAACCTCCTTGCTCACACTTGCTGTTCAAAGCAGGCATGACTTCGCGGATTGTTTACAACAAGTACTTGTTCTACCACATCGCAACTGCTACATGCTGTCACCCGATTTGTCATAAATGTCTCATAAATAGCGTAATGTGTTGAACATTTAGTCAAAATCAATTGCAAAGGGCAATGCTAAGAAATAGCCAAACATATACTAAATGGATATAACTTTCACAGTCGCTAACAAATATCAAATTGCAACTAAATGACTTACTGGCTAGCATGAATTATCTGTGTACGAGAAGTCACTGATACATATTTACAGATGCCATATATCAATATTGGTCTCTAATATTGCTATCAATTGATGAAACTTTGTGTGTTTGAATTTATTAGGTGATCCTTATCATAATACAATATCTGTAATTGAAATTGACGTAGAGAACTTATATTAAAGGAGTTTTCCTATATGTATGATTTCTTCCGCTCTCTAATTCTCATGTACACTGACTCGCGATCGTGATTCACCTTTCCGATTTGCACACGACACTTGCCTGAAAACCTTAAACGGTGATCTGTGCAATATTATCATGAAGTCGACTATGTAATGTTTGTGTAAACAGTTACTTTTTCACAACACTTCAAACTGAAGATGACTATTATTTTGATTTCTTGGCTGTTAACCAAACTGATGCGGAAGCCAGTCTAAACATGGAGGACGATGTTGAATGTACAACTAAGCTATATTGTCATGATAATGCAACAGATTACTACACTGTATTTTGTCTAATTAAATCCTAAAATGTTTCCTTAACGCTTTAGATACCGGATCCACCACACAAAGTTCTATGTATGTAATACAGGATAAACATCAACACATCCTGCCTTTCTAAAGTTATCCACTCATGTAATCTGAATATTGTCCGTTGCTTCAAATTTGAACAAAAAATATCAAGAACAGCAATTTAAACTGCTGAATATCCTAACACAAAACAATTATTTAGCACCCGTGTAATAATGGGATTGATGGTAAAAACTATATCGTGATGAATTTAGAAACACAGTTTATTGCAGATGTATTTAGTAATGCTCACGCTTACTATTTATTATATAGTAGAACGTAGACAATGTCTATTTCACATGTGTTACAGTTTAAATAGTAAGGCTTATGCTCCTCTATCGCCTCAATTGATGTTGCCAATGTATTAAACTTCAAAACACCTGCAAACTGTTTAACTGGTTTGAACAGTAATAATAAGTATGAGTTGATGAGATCACGAGGCATTTGGATTCCTCAAGAGTGTCATCAATTTGCTTCCAAATCCCACCCTCCCACAAACACGCATATTCCGGCATTACAAAACACATAATTTCCTTAATTTCAGAGCTGAAAACGGGATATGTTTTGGCTGGTAGGGCTAAGAAGGGAAAGGGAATGAAATGGGGTTGAATGTTTCATTACATATATGCTCTAGCGTCTGTTAGAGACTAGAAGTAACTCTGCCTTTGCTCTATATATCTCCTACAACAAGCATTTGGGAACTTGTAACCTATCCTTCTGTATCTTGTTTAAAACAAAAATATCACAAAATCTCAATCTTGTCTAAAAAACTGTGACAAGTCTAGATGTATCGAATCTGTAAATGAAGGGAATCTATGCACTTCTTACTATTATAATTATCTTAACCGACAATATAATAAAAACGAAATTGATAATTTTTGATTCCATCAATTAAAGCACCTTTTGCTATGGGGTCCATGCATATAATCCATCTTTTAAACTCTTGTCAGTATTCCAAGAAGAAGATGAACTTATCATTGAAAGCGAAATCAAGCACCTTTTGTTGGAATGTGTTGATTTTGCACTTATTCGTCAGCGCTTTTATACTGTTCAAACTATTTCTGAACTTTTCAATACTGTTTCTAACCACTGAGTTTTAGCCTATTTGAAAGAAATTAAACTGTATGAAAAGATGTAGATTTTAAATTTTGAATGTCAGTTTTTACTGTTTACTGTGATAAGGGACTGAAGTCTTAGTGTTCGTCGTCATCACTTTTAAATAATGTTGACTAAAGGAAATTGATTTTGTTTTTCTAGCCGCGAATAGCTGGAATATTGCTGATGCGGCTTAAAGCAGCATTTACTCACTCACTCACTCACTTGAAAGGAAACACAGCTCTAATTTCACAATTTTGCTACTGAATCTTTAAATCATTATAAACCCCGTTCGTCAAAGGATGCCTCCCTCTATAGACCTATGTCCATCTGGCTCACCTTAACGACGCAACCACTGATTTTGTTAACCTGAGAGTTGACCACAAATGGAGCAACTATTTGAAAGACACTACTGGTGGTACACTTGAAAGTGTTCATTTATAACTGACATTTTTCCAGAAGTGTGGATTATTGGCATAGTACATATCTGGTGACCACACATTTACGAATAATTATAGGGATATATCTTTTTTAAGTGTTAGGGAAAAATGCTCTTATCTATTGTTTGATAAAGATTAAGAAAATGGACTGAACTAAGTAAGCAGGCTTCAGAATAGATGCTCAAAGATCACTCAACAAGAGACCATATTACTTTCAAGAACGCTGATTACTCTATTCGAAAGGAAATCTCTTGTTTTAGCCTAGTTTGTTGTGGACAGTGCACATATCATGTAAGCTGTCCCGTTTTCCCGTCATTCTGGATCATTTCCGAAGGTAGTGGATGCACAATATCACCTTACGAAACAGACATCAGTTACATTTTGAATTTACAATATTATAAAAATGTATTGGTTCAAATAAAATATTTTTCCATGAGTTAAAGACATGTTTGTGATAAGAAAACAGAGAGTGACTACCTTTCAATCTACTGCTAGTTAAGATATCAATTTAGATATGATTTTAGT